GAACTTGTTTAATTATCAAGCAGCCTTTGTCTCCATATTCCTAACACATTGAGCAGATGGTGGATGAGGTGATAACGGTGATTAAGCTCTGTGGAAAAGAAGAAGGAAATGAAGTCCATTTTATGCTAGAGTGTACCAAGCTAACAGAAGAAAGACAATGAAACCTAGCTCTACTGAGGCCATACGTGGAAGAACCCAACAAGGTACTGAAAGCATTCCTCTTTAACGATGATAGAAAAGAGATGGAGCAGAACAAGGATGGACTCTACCTACCAGCTCTGGAGGCTGAGGAGAAAACTGGTGACAGAGGCAGGTGACGAGGAAAGGGCTTAACCAACATCCTAAGCTTATCCTACCAATACCCTCCCACCCGACCTGTGTTTATAGGGCTACCGATGCAAAGGTGACAGCCCGACCACATCATCAGCATCAGTCCTGTGACACTCACCAAACCCAGCTATTATGGCCATACTCCTGGGGGAGCTTCGGGCTTCCCGCATAGGGTAGTTGTCTGTACAACCCGGAGCAGGATTGACCAGGATTGGCCAGAGGGGCAGGGCATGTATTTCATGATCGCTACACAAATATACTTTATTAGTGATATAATATTTTAATAGCTAATCCTTGTCAGCTTTTGTTTGTTCACAGCATCATTTATTTCTGGTAATTCATTTCTAACGCTCATTGCTGCAAGCTCCAAAGGCACCTACCTCAATGGCCATCCGAAGCAGGGGGTTGATACGCGGAGGAGAAGAAGAGGATGGATTCGAGAGGGAGAACACCATGGAAGCGCGCAAAGAGAGAGCGGATGCACAAAATGAATCTAGGTATTAGGTTTATAAAGACTTGCGGTAGACTACATACTTCAAAGGATTGGTAATTGAGGCATGACAAATCAATAAAAACAAACAATGTACGCCTTGCAGCTTGCAACAAACTCTGCACTGGTGATTTGCATCTAAACTAAACCATAGAACAGAAACTTAAAACAAAATCACCCAGCCTGGCACACGTAGCCTCTCACAATAAAACATTATAAGTGCTTACCTTAATACCACGGGAACGGTGTGACTGAAAAAATGTCTAATACCTTCCCTAATACCTAATACCACCAAATCCGACAACAAAATCAACAAAATACACAGAAACCAAAATAAAACTGAAGAGTGTTCTCAATTAGCGAAAGAAACGCCGTTAGACCAATCAAATGCGAGCACTGGCGTTTGCTAGCGAAAGCAGTACAGAAAACTGTGCGCAACTGTGGGTGATAATCATGGTCTGCAGTTTTCAACACCAAACCTCGTAAATGCCAGAGGTCATCATGCTTCACGACTTATATCACCAAATAGAAAATTGAATTTTATTTATTATTCATCTTGAAATAGACACCGCCATAGGCTTGTTTTTTAGTAATATTTCGTTAATTTCCATAGTGTAACCTTCAGCAGCATGAATGGTAATTCATTCTAGACCAAAAAAATATAATCAATACCTTCTAAATTGCAATCAAATATACATATCTGGAAAGAAAATTAATTTTTTGTTGTAATAAAGAGCTTTCGAAAGCATATGATTGACAGTTTAACCAAGAAACAATGATTTCGTTCAGAAATGTTGGGTTCTCAAAAATCTAAGTTCGAGACTCGGAAGTAATTTGACAAAATGCCAGAGGTCATAGAGCTTTAAACTTTCTGATTTCTAATAGTTCAGACAATTTTGTAAATTTTGGTAAATGTTTTAGACACCGCCATAGGCTAGTTTTTGAAAAATACTACATTTAGTGGAACAGGGTGACCAAGGACACCAATGGCGGCTGTGTATTCAACATCATCTAAATTCAGTTTTTAACATTTAAAAGGCAACATAATGCACATATTCTGAAAGACAATTTAAATTTGATGTTTTCTGACCATATTTAGAACCCCACATCACTGATATTAATCGATAATTTGTGGTAGAACAATGGCAGGTCCGGTAAGCTGAGGAGTTCAGCACTATGCTGATTTTGTAATTCAAGGAAACAATTTTTGCTCATGATATTACTTTTTCATATTTGATTTTAAATTTTAAGAGTAGAAAAATAATGTTGTCCCTGACAAACTCCTAAAACCTTAGAACCATTATTTTCGAAATGGCGGAGTTGGACAAAAATCTATTTTCGTTGTTACTTTACAGATGTTGATAAGCTGTGCTCTCTGTACATTAATTAAAAATATATATTTGAATAATGAAACATATTGAAATCTGTGGCATAGTTTTCTGTTTTGGACTGAAGAGGTCAGCTGAAAATAGTGGTCAAAATACCTTAGTGTTGAAGCGGCAAACCGGTTTTACCTAGTTCTGTATATACCGTGGCCGGCGCGAAATGGCGGGAACCGGAAATCGTGGCTAAACACAAAGAAAAAGAATATTTCTTATAAATGAATTATACAACTAAATAACGCATTTTTTATTTTCTTTTAGACAAAATTATGAAAAAATTACAAAGGCTCGTCGTTAATGATAAACAGAGCAAGTTTTAACAGCACGTTTTTGTTGAATTATGGCGGCGAAATCTTTATGCCATTCGTAAAGGGACGCGCGACAAACGGCTGATAGCCATGCAGCGAAAAATTGAAGCTGGGAAGTTTTTTGTATTGACTTGTCAAAACATCTCGCCGTCATGGGGGTTATTTCCGCCGTAACGGGTCGTCTGAAGGTGGGAATGTCCCAAACTGAATCAAAATATTGATTCTATGCCCATATATGGTCAAAGCTCCGCCCACTAGAATCAATATTTTGATGCCTCCATATTTTGATTCCCGCCGCCTAGTTTGCCCAACTGAAATGAGTCAGTTGAAAACAGAAAAAGGGTGTACCACCGTTGCACTACGATCGTAACTCGTAAGACAGTACATATAATCTGGAAAGACTGTTCCGAGATAGAAGACAATATAATACGGGAACTGGGAAGACGGCCCACGAAAACCGGCAAGACTGTTTACACGGGAAGACGGTTCCTAAAAGACGATATAATACGGGACCATGGGAAGACGGCCCCCGCCAAAACCGGAAAGACGGTAAATACGGGAAACCGGTTCCGAAAAGACGATACTACGGGAAGACGGCTCCCGAAAACGGGATGAGACGGTATAAAACGGGAAGACGGTTCCGAAAAGGCGGTACAACCCGGAAAAACGTTCGAAAAGACGGTATAATCCGGGAAGACGACGTAATACGGGAAGACAGTTCTCGGGTTCCAGAAGATCGATAGGTACATATAAACATCCATGCTTCCGCCACTTACAACTTTAACCTGTCCTGAATCCTATAGCTGTGTCTCAGTGCGACCTATTAGTAAAGTAATCTTGAGTGTGACCTGCCTTTAGCATGCCACTAACTAATCTGCAGCGACTGGCGTGGTCTCGCCACGCTCTACCACGACCGTCAGTCACGTCACGGCCACGGTCGCCACCTCGATCGGTCTGACCCAACCCTACCGCGCCTCGGCCGTACTTGTCTGACCTTTCCCGGTCGTCCTTTCTGCTACATAATTTAACCCGTCTTTATCCCAGTTTAACCTATCGCCATTGGTTCAGTACTTGCTTACTCAGTAGCTCAAGTGCGAGTTGCGACCATTGTATTGTATGTAGGGGAGAGTGGGGTAATTTGGCCGGTGGTGTAAATTGGCCGCCCCCACCTGTACGAAAGCTGATAAAAGTGAATAAAATAACTTTAGTCCCTATTCATTTGTCGTCGGCAGAACTAACTTGAGAACAAATGTCAAAACTTTCCCCCTCTTAGTTTTATTCAAAATTAATAAAAGGTGAATTTCGTTAGAAAATGGTAACTTTTACTTCCGTTTAAAAATTTGTATAACATGTAGTATTTGGGCTGTAAACGAATTCCAACATTATAGCGCCATTTTTGAGGGTGTTCAGCGGTTCCAAGAGCAAATTCATCTAGTTCTGTACAGCCATGACGACTTTATAGACACAAATTTTCAGAATGGCAATGTGGGGTTATTTGGCCGGGACTAGCGGGGCAACTTGGCCGGTGCGCTCAGAGTCACTATGCTAGGACGGCCGAGTTGTCATGGTCAATTATACCATAAAGGACATAATTCATGACCAACTTTGACTACCTTGATGCCATATTTCCTATTGGACAGCTGTAAGGGCATGTGACGTCATCGAAGGTTACCTAACGCTTTTTTGCTAATAAATACTTACAGAAAAAAGATACAGCCGCGCAAATGGTATCATTGTGTTCAGCTCGTCAAGGCGCATCGAATGATATACATGATGACCTTGAACTCACGTAACCTTGAGGTCAAGCGACCTGAGGTAACGTGACCTGAAGCCAACCTTTGACCTTGACCTCTCGAGGTCAACACATACATGTTTCGATGCGGAATGACGAGAGAATTACGATGGTACTTTGAATTTTGGCCTAGCTTGATTACTTCAAAAGTTATTCGTACAAAACTGTCATCGCATCTAGAGCCGCTATTTTGACTATTTTCGACCCCTGTGACAGCTGAGTCAACCTCCAAAATTCTTCAAATGCGTCGTAGGACACGCGTCATTGCTGAATGTGAAGCTGACTCGCCTATAACAAAAATTATGGTTTCAAACTAACACCGGCCAAATTGCCCCACACCCCCGGCCAAATAACCCTGCTAGTGGGGCAATTTGGCCGCCTTGCAGACCTTTGTAATACGTCACAATTTCAATATAAGTAGTTATTCTATCATTTCAAGTTTACTGACCAAGAAAGTAAAATGTATGCCACACCTGTCAGCGTTGAGAAAATGCAGAAATGTGTTGTCGATTTTTAGTTACATCGTTTTCTAAAAAAAAGCGGCCAAATTACCCCACTCTCCCCTATTGTATGTATCAGTATGTATTTACGATCATGGGCGATCCACACATGGCGTGGCGATTACTGCCCACTGCGAATCCTCTGGCATACGATGCCTCCCTGTTGCTAATTATGACTTTCCTCTCCCCCTCATTCAGTCTGATCTGGCACGGCTGACGTCCAACCGCTCATGGGTGGCCCAGTCTCGACTCCAGCTCGACAGTGTTCGTGAGCAGCGCGCACGGCTCACGGAGCTGATGCGACAGCACGCGGCGGCCAGTCAGACGGCGGCTCAGCACACGGAACAGGCGCAGCAGCTGGATGAGCAGCAGCAGCAACTGCACCGGCTTCAGAACGGTATAAATAACTACAGACAATCTGCTGTTCGCGCTCTGTGGGATCTAAATGACGAAAATCACCCGTAAAACTGGATAACGAGATGAACTATAACTGAGGTTGCGAAACGTCAGATTTGATGAACAATATTATTGAAAAATTTCTTTAGACTAAAACGCACAAATTTGGTAGCCGAATCTAACAGAAATCTACAGTAAGGATTTTATTACTTTGTTAGTGGAATTGGAAATATAGGTCGGTTGCAAGCCGCGCGAATATGTATCTGCGTTTCCTATCCCGTATCCGAATTGTTTTGTCCAATGTACAATGCTTTTGACATGCGGTTTTCACTGCGTTCTCCCAAATCTATCGCTCATATCATCATCCCTTGCCCGTTCCCGTCAGAGCGGGACCGTCTGGAGTCGACTCTGCGCCGCGGCGTGGCTCTCCAGTCGGCCCGGCAGCGGACGGCCGTCGCCGAGAGGAGTCGAGACGAGCTGGAGCGGCGTCTCCAGGAGCGGCAGAGCGAGGAGCAGGAGCAGGAGCGGGTGGTGCAGCGCCTGGAGACGGATATTGAACAGAAACAGGTGCGGGGGAGGGATAAATTTAGAGACAGGCATGTGCGAGGATAAGGGACAGATAGCCAGACAGTCATGAGGCAGCTGTGCGGAGATAAGGTGAGAGATTGAGCAGAAACCTGTCAATGCAAGGAAGGAATAGGGTTCCGATAATCATGACTGGGTCTGGGTGTATTTAATCTCTCTTTGTTAATATAATCAGACCCAAGTAATTTATTTTGCCAGGTGCGGAGCTGGACGTTGTTCTGCGTAGTTTATTGAATGAGTTGATTCCGGGCTAGCCCATCGAGTAGATTTGGACTTACTGCCGTTAGAAAGCGAGCTCAGCTGTCTCGTCAATTATCAAAGCCCACATTGTGAGGTAGCAGCTGACCGGTGACACTGCCCTTTCTTCGAGCCCGCAGGCGGAGATGGAATCTGAAAAGGAGAAGGTGGCCGTCAAACTCACGCGCGCTCGCAACGAGCAGAGTCTGGAAAACGAGCGGCTGAGATCGCTCGAACTGCGCGCCGCCCAGCTGCGCTCCCAGCTCGAGGAGCCGCACACAAAGTGATGTCAGAATGTGACATCAGATGGAACGGTCGAAATAACGTCATCATGGGGTGATCTCATCGATGAGAAAGGCTGTGATATAGGAGAGTTGTCCGTTGTAGTTGACTGTTGTCTGTTTATACTTTTGCCTGGTTATTTGTCGGTTTATATTTTTGTTGATGATTCCTTTTTTTTGTTCGCTCAAACTTGGCGCTGACGGTTTATTGGTGAAGCGATAAATTGTGCTAAACGCACAGTGTTATGCTGTTCTTAGTTTACTGCTCAATAAATTGATGTCGCCTTGTCGGCAAACGACATAGGCTGCTGTTTTTCCATCATAAGGATGTTTTAAACACCTCGAAGCAAGAACACGTTAATGAAACCAATGAAACCACCATTAAATGTACTTTATTTATCAAAACATATAGTCCCGATGGAGCTCCCTCACTGCTCTGAAAATATCTCTAGATTTGGAGACTTGTGAATTTATGGTGCGTTCGTGACATTGTGGTGTTTAGTCAGCTGACTGTAACAACGCAACGAATTGCACGTAAACAAAATGCGCGAGGAGTGTGGGGAATAGGCAAGGGGAATAGGTCGGATAATTTCTATGGCGGGAGAGGTTCAACTTGTTCTCTATAAATTCGAAATTGGTTAGAACGCTGGCTTTTGACAAGTTTGATATTGATACACCCTTTCACTTTACGCTTACCACTGTTCTGCTCAAGTGTGGAAAAACTCAGAAGCAGAAGCGAAAGTCAAAACTGAAATTTAAATCAAAATGGAAAGGTTGAAGTGTTGCCAATCCTTTTAGTTCATGGTTCTACTACTTGGCCAGACTTTTGAAAGGACTGTACTATCAAAAAAGGTTTGAAGTTATGTCTGTTTCACATCCTCTTCTAAAGGAGCTCAAAAGTAAGTTGTGGATGTTTTAACCATGCGTTCGGAGAGCATGGAATATTCACCGTCCCCGGGAATATTCCCCGTGCCGCGTTCGGAGGCGTATCTCTCTGAACAGCTAATCTCCGGAAATATTCTGCGCGCATGGAATATTCAACGGATTCCATGTGGAATGTGCCTCTCCGAACGCACCATAAAATTGACTTCCTCATATTCAACCAACTGGTGTAACCTGTTTTGTATGTTTTTTTACATTATGAATTGATAACAAAGTTTCCCATTTATTTTATGTTTCAGCTGAGCCCATAAATGTCATGTTTTCAGATTACGTGCTGACACTGACAAAGGACTCCCAAGAGCGCAATGAAATTCTGGATGACCACCCATCCATGCTTCCATTCTGTGAGGTAAGTGGAGCAAGGACTAAAGGTTTGCTTTATTTTTAAGAAGGAAAGGGAAAAATGCACTGAGTACTTTTCCTTTTCCTTTTATCAATTCTTGCTCCCCATCCAAAACATTAATTTCTCTACGACAGGTGCTGGAGAAGATATTCCGAGAAGGTCTGCTGGGCCCTGTGTTCACCCCATTTGGAGCCACCAAGAAGGACTACTGGTCTGTGATGGAGTCAGTGTACCAGGAGAGGAACAGGTCAGTCAGGCTAAGGTCACTAAATTATGTAGGAGGGAAAGTTGGAAACAGTTCAGCCTTGAAGAGAAGCTAGTTTATCACAATTATGCATGAGACTTACTGAGTCAGCCTACCAGGAGGTGAACAGGCTATTCATGGGCATCCTTGCATTGAGCTTCCTTGTCAGCTGGTATGTTCTCACTTAGGTATACTTCGTTACAAAGTCTCTGCCACCCACCACCCTTTTCTCTTACCACCCATTTTCCCCGTGTCGCCAGCGTATCGTCCAGTTTCCACCATGCCGTGGAGGCCGTCCAGAAGAGCCAGCGGGTGCACACACAGCAGGGCCGAGGCCGACTCTTCATACGGTGTGCGCTCTTCAAACGCTGCCTGCACGTCCCCGTTGAATCGCTGGTGAGTACGTGATTCGATATTGGAGTTTCTTTCGTCTGGCTTGCCATATAGTCTGTAGAATTGTAGGTCGATGGTTCTCAATCGTAAGAGTCGATTTCCCATCAACCTCGACCTCCTTTGGCTTTTCTTGGACCTTTCTGTAGATCTTTCTTCGGTGACCTGCAGGGCATGCAATTAGCGGCGCATTGGCGTAAAAAGTTGAGTCTGAAAGGTCCGCAGGTTACACCTCGGGAGTTCGTGTATTCATTCCCGTTCGAAACGTCCCCGTAACGGGCTACGTAATCATAAGATGGCCTCTCATACATCTGACCATTCCTTACGAAAATGTAATGCTTGCTGGCCTTTGTCATCGTGACTTAGTGACTTATGTTTTTCTGGTATTAACTGCGTTTCTTGCTACACTTCGGGAATATCCGAGCCACTTACATTAAATTACGACAGTTTGGTTATTTTCCCCCGTTCGTCATACCGGAAATTGAATGTGGTTCAGTTAAATGGACAAACCAAACAAAGAGCCCGGGTAACTGTCCGGTGAGGACCACAGACTGCGGTCTACCGTCTGCCCACTCGGGTCGCATTAGTCTCGGTTCGGTGCGCTGGAAGGGGAACGGGTAGCGCCGCCGACCGCAGTGCACGTCGGCTTCCGGTGATGAATTGGGACGGTAGGTGGGATGTTTTCATGTGGAACACGCTACCTTACCACGTAACTTATATGCATGTTGCTTATAATTCATGTAGCTTATGTCTGTAACTTACATAGGAGGTGCATTTTGCGTCGGTAATGTGGTAAAACAGGTTCAGTGGTGTAAAGGAGTGTTCAATGTCATGATGGGAGCGGATGTTTGCCGTCACGGTCTTTGGAGCTAACTACTTATCGGGGTGAGGTCATAGATAAGCGCTGGCGTAAAGGCACGGTCTTGGGCACGGTATCGTCCTTATTTTATTTTTATTTCCGCGTGCTTGCTTTTAGCAAGATATCCCGACCGTCAATATCATTGAATATGTCGACATGTCCATAAGCTCTTTAAATGTTTCCAGCCTGGAGCTACCGTAAAATGATTGCCTGCGTAATTACTGCCGTCACCGCTGCATTGTCTGCCCAACAATACCCCGTGTCACCGTAACGCATAGTTGACCTGTGCTGCCACCGTAACGCCGTATTGTGAGCTGCCTCGAAATGCGTGGTTTGTAGCGCCGGGAGTCGGACGGTCGCAGGTTATAGCTCACAGTCGAGTCAGGTGTGTCTTTGTTCGACACACTCGCAGCTGCGAACTCGGGCCGGAGACAGGTCGGTGGACTAAGTCTGCACAGCTGTCAGCAATCGTGGACACTCATGGAGTTTTTGTCCGTGATCGTGACATTTGCATTGTTGTTTACCGTTGGTTCATGTTGATTTTATCGTGCGTTTTTTTGTGTCGCAAAAAAGTTAATAAAATATACAGGCGTGCTTCTGATAGTATGAGCCGACCGAATTTATTCTAAGCTTGGTAATACTCAAGATATACATTGCAATGCGTTTCAAGCCGGTCCCGTAGCTCAGTCAGTAGAGCGTTGGACTCCGCGTGGTGAGAGCACGTGTCCCGGTTATAACAGGCCGGGTTCGAAGCGCGACGGGTGCTTGACATTTATGGGCCTCCTGACAGGTATGATAGCGGTTGGTGGCAGGCCATAGCCAGGCGAAGTCAGTCAGGGGACCGGCCGTGCGCGCCTATGTGCCCATTTGGACTCCAACTCCCCCCACCCCCCACCGAGCGACATCTCCCCCCCCGCATATACGTCACAACGCTCTCCGTGTAACCATACCTTGACCTTTCCCTTCTCACCTGTCAGTACTCTGCGTGACTCCCCAGTCCCCACCCCTCCCCTTTCGTTCAGATCCGCTACGGGCGGGTCTCTGCACTGTATAACCGACTTGACCCCTCCCTTCCCCCTCCTTCGTTCAGATCCGCTGCGGGCGGGCGTCTGCCCCATACGACCGACGTTACCCCCCCCCCCTCCCCCTCCTTCGTTCAGATCCGCTGTGGGCGGGCGTCTTCCCTGTACGACCGGCGTGACTCTGTGATCGGCCATGAGATCCTGGCAGAGATCTGTCTGTCTCTGCTGCGCCAGGTGTCACTCATCAAATTCCGGTGAGTGGTTCAGAGAGGGGGAGGGAGAGGGTCGGGGTGGGAATGAGATGGATAGGAGGAGTCGGTGGGGGATGGAGGAAAGGGGCGGGTGGGGTAGAGACGTGGGGGGGGGAGTTCGAAGCAAGGGATATTCGAAAGAAGTGAAGGTAAGCATACTAAAGAAGTGAGAAAAACGGTTATTATGCCATTATTTCTTTTTGTGAAGATTAAAATGTCCTGCATGACATTTTTCCAGCATCAAACACGCTTAATATTATTGAAATCAAATTGAAAGAGGTCGTATTCAGTACAGCTACGACCATTTTACTCATGGATCGGCTGTGTCCAACTCCAATCCCCCGCTTGAGGTCCTAAAACTCCGCTGTGCTACCTCTAAAACATGCCGATTGTCGAGCGTTCGCTCGGCCAGAGCTGCTCCGAATTCCATTCCGGCGCAGCCGCGGCCTGTCCGTTGCCAAATCGTCGTGTGACCGCGTACCCCTGCAGCGTGAGAACCTTTCCCGATGCGCCGCCGCCGCTGCGGAGAGTGCAGGGTTTCGGACTGAGCCCCGTGTCTGCAGAGGCAGGGCTCGCAGCCGGTGGTATGGGGGCTCGCTGCAGCATGTAGGAAATGTTTCGGACTGTCGGCCTGTCGGGCCCTGTATGATGGAATGGACTCTGATGTGAATCATATGCTGCAGTGAGTGAGGTTTTTGTGTTCGTAGTGTGCTCAAGGTTACAACGTTTTTTTTTTAAAGTACGCGTATGTGAAGCGTGTGAGGGAAAAATTTGCACGCTAGTTCACCGCCTCACTGCAGTGCAAGTAGACGGAATCTAGCTTGAACTGAATGTTGCAACAATGGTGTCGTTTGGGTGTTTATAAAAACGTGTTGGCGCAAAATGACCTTGTAGTCGGCGCGCTCTTAAGCCCCAATAAACAAACAATAAAAACGTGTTGAACAATGCTTTGTGTGTATTGGTACGCTTTCATTTTTTAATAATGCGTGTTCGTTAGTTTCTCGTTTACTGTTGAGGTAGCTCATAGCTAACGTAGTTAGGATTGGGAATACAGGAACATAAACGCGTTTACAGGTTTCCCGCAACTGGAGTACGATCGTGCTTTCGCAGTAATTTTATCAACCTTTACAACCTACCACGCGCGAACAGCAGTGTCCCGGCAAAATTAACGCCCTCCCTCGCACGCATCATTTGACGTCGCTGAGTCATGACTATGAGCAGACTGTTTGCACCTGTACTGACACCTCCCTTCCCCCTCCCCCAACCCACCTTCTCCACGACAGATTGAACCTGCGTAACGCCTGTTTTCTGGACGAGACCTGGCTGCTGCCGCTCTACCGGCGCTTCGAGTTCGTTCCCTGCGAGAGGCTCGGCGTCAAATTCGGGTGGGTGACGGTAATAATAGCCGGGAAGTTTGCTGGAAAACGAGGCACTTGGCATAGATAAGCCTGGTTATGCTGTCTCACTTTTGTGGGTCACGCATAACGTGATTGCGGTTTCATCATGGTTATTTTCATCTTGTAATTATCGGCTTTATTGTTTCCGAATTCCATTCACTTAACACAGAAATGTTCAGCTCCAGGCCGTAAGATGCATGAATCCCGGACACATAAGGCTTCGTGAGGGTGTCGACGGACTCTCAGCTGAACTGACTGACACCCTCCCTCTCCCTTACCCTTACCTCTAACCCGTCCCTTTTCGTCCGCCGCCGTCAGGTTCTGCAAGTCGCGGGTACTGGTGGTAGACGTGGAGCCCAACTCGGTGGCCGCCGAGGAGGTCAGTGGTAGCCGTCGGACGGGGAGAGAGCGGGCTGGGACGGGTGTGGAAAGAGGGCGGGACAAGAGGTGGCCATTACGTATCGATTCTCCGTTGACCTTGAAGGTTCTTTAGTTGTGTGAGCGCTAATGACGATAAAGTGGTCTCCATAGCTTCTGATTTATTGCCAACTTTGCTCTGTTATGCCTGTTACCTTAATTCCAGTCATATACTAGTGTTTTCTTAGGCACACAACACCTTAAACGAATTGGGTGACCAACGACGTGTAAAAGGACCGCACATGCTAGCCCCGACCCTTCCACGATCCACAGAGTATCATGTGTAGCATGTGTACTTACGCAACCAACCATGTGTGCCTCTCCCCCCCCCCCCCCGACCACAGGACAATATCGAGCCCGGTGATATAGTGGACGAGCTGTATGCCGAGTGCTGCTACGGAATGCGCCGCGGCAGGGTCTCGGCACTGCTGAAACTCTACCAAGGCATGCCCATCTACATCAGCGTGGTCAAGGTAAGTCGGGGAGACTCGATCTTGCGGTGGAACTGCAGCGTCAGGGTGGTGAAAGGGGAACTAGGCGGGGGTGGAGTGTAGACTCGAGAGGGGGAGTTATTAGCTGAGTCAGGTTCGATCGATGTTTAACTACGTTTGAGGTTCCGCCTGCACATACGCAACCAATCGAAGTGTGACGACGATTTGTAGAGACGAGTAAGTATTTGAAGTATTGCTTCCGGAATTTATAATAATCATCTCGATTTGTCGGGTTCATGAGTCGGCTTTTGTTGTCGCGTCTGGTACGACTCTATCGTTTGATTTATCGCTCTCCCTCCCGTCCCTTCGTTACCGTTACACACCCGCTCACACTCTGCCTTTCCGCAGTGTCACTCTGCCACGGGAGACCTCTACCCACCGGCCATCCCGCTGTTGGAGTCTCTCCGCCTGGACCTGGCCCAGCTGACCGCCGCCTACCAGTCGCGGGCGGCGCAGCGGCGCCGGCTAGCCGCCTCTGCCGACCGGCTCGACCGTCTGCCCGACGATCCGGAACCGCCCGACGAGAAGGCGCCCTACTGCGCCGGAGCGCCCGTGACCTACCTGGGAGCGGGGTTTGTCGGGAACAGAGGAGACGTGACGGTGATTGAGATGGGGGTGGAGAATGTGCTGAGGAACCAGCCGCAGACGCAACAGGTGAGGATGATGGGAGGGAGAGGATGGGATATGGATGATGGGATGATGGGAGGATACGAGGGATGGGGAGAGACGATCGAGAGAGGATACGAGGGTTTGGTGGTGTTGAACGAGATGGAAATCTATTATTGTGTCCACTCTGTTTCAATATGATTTAGGTATGTTGCAGTTGTGTTGGACCCGACTTCGTTAGTGAATTAGTTATTGAGTTACTTAAGTAGAATGCTACCTAATTTGTCAGGTAGCTGAACTGATCTGTCCAGTCCGTGTTTATCTAATGTTGCCGATAGGTGCTTGTTGGGCTGTGGTGACGATGCTGATATGTTTGAAGCTAGTGGCACTAATGTCACTGGTGTCGTTCTCAGGTGCAGCTAGTGCTCGGCGAGATGGGTGTCACACTGGTGGACCGGGCCTCCGGAGAGGTGGTGCGGAAACACAGCTACACGGAGATCGCCTCCTGCGGACGGCGCAACGACCGACTCCGGTACTTCGCCTACGTGGCCGGGTCAGTGACCTTCCGGCGTTGGATCGGTTACCTGACCTGGTCGGTCAGTCATTCCCCTGTGACCTGTGACCGGGTCGATGGTCTTTCCTGATCCGATCAGTAGCCTGTGGTCGGTCAGTGTCTCAATGACTGTGGCCAGTTACCTGAAGCCGAGTTGGTGGCTTTCAGTTAATAAGTCGAGTTAGCGACCATCAGACACTAGTTGGGGCAGCGACCTCTTTATACAGAACTGTTCGTGTCCACACTCCTGATCCCGGCGCTAACTGATTTGCTCTCTCTTCGAACGCCGTGGCGCTCTCGGAATAAGCGCTCTTCTATGTAGTGCCCTTCCCACGTCGTTCTCGTAATGCCAAAACTGTCCCTTTTACACCATTCTGACGTCTTGTTCTCTCCCATCGTCGGCAGTGAGACGTCGTGTAACATGGCGCGCTTCTTCTACTGTCACGTGTTCGAGGCGCTGGACGAGCAGCAGGCCAAGGACGTGCTACACGGCATCGGTGAGGCCGGGAGCGGGGAAGGAGGGTGGCGGGAGGGGCCGGGGGAGGGGCGATTACAGCACTGAGGTTGGGCGATTGTTTTTGTCATACTAATTCACGAATGGGAGGATTTAAAAACGTCCGTTCGACAATTTCGGTAAGGTGATGGCATGCCTGCTCTGCTATAAAATGGCTACTAGTGCTGGGATATTTGAGGGTACAACAGGCGACACCTGTCGGGAACTTAGCACGACCGTAGATTCAGCAAGGGAACTCGCTGTATGGTTTGAATATATTGTAAAGATCCCCTTAATTCCACAATATTCTGCAGCCCCGTGACCGTCTGGCTCTCTTCGTTCCAGCCGAGGGTTTCCGCAGGACGCATTTCGCCGTGTAGCAGCCACCGAAACTGCACCGAACTTCACACCATGTTGCCTGAAACACGTCCGAACGACGGACAGGCAGCAGCTCAGTAGAATCTCACGCCGGGGTGCCTCGAATTGCCGGTTTTATACCAGACGCAAGCCACCAGGTGAAGGAAACGTCAGTATTTGCTTTCCTTCTACGCAAGAGGGGACGACGAAGTCCGTCCAGAGGCTACCTTGACCGGCAGAATAGTGTAACGTGGCGGACGTTGATTGGCTGATGATGGGGATGAAGCGTCCTGATTGGTCGCTTCTGGTGTAAGTCCGCCAAGGGGTTGATGAGGGAACACTAGTGATATCGAAGAAGACCGAAGTAACGAACCATTCCGAGACAAACATTCGAACTGTGCAAAGCAGCCTCTTCCGAGTCAAGAGGCATCGACAAAGCGCGAAGCGGTGATAGCGTTTAAACTAGTGGTGTCAAGAGTGGGGTGATTAGTTTAGCAAAGCTGGCACCATCTTTGCGTAACGGACTCACCGCTGTTGTGACAGTATTTCAGAAGGATGTGACACGGGACATCAAGTTCACGACTAGTCACGGGGGCGATTGAATGCGAAGGGTTTAGCTGTGGATGAGAGGCTACTGTGATTTATAACCATTGGTGAAAACTGTGGGATAGACAGATACGCACATTTACACGCACGGGTGACTGATTTTAGGGTCTAGTGACTGACGAAGCTTTAATCGCTGGAAGCTAATAGAAGGGGTGATGCGTATTTTATTTGGTGCATACGCTTAAGAAGCGAGTCTTACACGTTATTTTATTTTCGGGTGGTGTGTTTAAATAACGGTTTGTGTTAGCATTCCGGGTAAAGCATAGTTTAAATATAGCGGGTTATATTTATTTTTATGCTTATTAGGATGCTAGGTTATGCTTAGTTGGTTGGGTGTTTGGTGAAGTCCATTGCATAATTATGGAACAGTATTTTACGCTGGTATTAGGTGTATACATCGCCTTTAGGTGTACACAGCGCCTTACGCGATGTCCCGTTGTACGTTTGCTAAATCCCGCTCAGATGAGGATCATGCGAATTCTGTCGATTTACACGCTGTCAAAATAGCAGTGATTCTGCTCTTGTTTCCGGAAGTGTATTTCGCCGTCTATTATTAGCCTACTCTGATGTTTAAATTTGTCAGTTCCATGTTAAAATCGACATTGTGGGGTTTTTCGCTAGCCGAGTGCGCTCTTTGGATCCCCAGTTATGAACCACTCGTGCTTCCTGATGTTTCTGCTCAGTAGGAACTAGGAAGCTCCGTGCGTCCGGGCTGCAACTTGAAATGACTGAATCTCCTGCCGCCGCGGAGCTGTGACGTCAGAAGGGGTACTGTTCTCGGTATGACGTCACCGAGGGTGCTGTGATATTGGCGATAACGGATAAAACTGTGTGACGCTCGATCGAGCAGACGCTCCGCAGCTTGGGCCTTTGTTGGCCTTGGTGCACCGTTTTTGCACTGAATTTGATTTCTGAACGTGCTTGCACTTTTTGGCACGATTATAAATCGTCGAAATTGCGTACACAGCGATCACTATATGCACCCCGTGTGTAATAGATCAAATATATGAGTGAAAGCCTTATATGAACCTGTCTGGTGAAAAAGTCCAAAGTCCGGGTTCTTTTATTTCGAAGGATATGTCTTGTGCCTTACCTTACCCATGGGCATCTCGATCCATTAAATCGCCAAGGTATGACTGATAAGGGCCACGGATCTGTGCAGGGGCCGAGTAAAATCTTGTAATCTTGTAATCTAAAAATAAGTTATCTTGCAGGGGTCAACAGAGGTAAGGTTCATGCGTCGCGATTCATTTCGACTCGAGTCGTTCAACGTCAACAATGACGAACTGGATAACTTTGTGGAACGCAGCTTAGCAAACAGATGCATCTTATCACCCAGGGCTCTAGTGTTGCCTGTTTTTCAGCCAAGGCTAATAGATGGAAGTATCTGTGCCTTGTTTCTGTCTAAATGCTGAAGACTGAGCCGATATTCCGATCATTTGAAAATGTAAAAATTGTCTGTACTTTAAGAGGTAAAATAGATAATCAATAAAAATATGGCGTGATAGAGACGTACAATGGTGTTCGAAAGTAGAAAATACATTCACCAATAAACAGAAAATCCCAGAAATTCACCATTAATTTTGATCCAATGTTTTGCCGATTTTTATCTATTTGACGGAAATATGCTCTGGAAACTTACCCAAATATTTAGAATGTTTCGATATAGCGTTTGTAGTTTCAAATCATGAGGTCACATGACACCTTCCGCAGCATATCTATAGCCCTTTAGAACAGGCTCGGTCCGAGAACATTTCTTCTGAGGTTATGTAATAAACAGATGCATCACGCTTCTGTGGCGGCGGTGGAAACAGTTGACGGTGTGGCAATTATCCTCAATTATATACGGTAATATCACACAAAAGCTTTATGCTTAAGTGACCATCCCACCTTAGCATTTGTTTTGAGTTGAGATAGGCAAATTAGGGTCCCTGGCTTGCTGGCAATTGAATTACCGTTTTTGGCACTCACAACCAAGGCTATAATAGATATTAGATGTTTGATGTTTGGTGAAATTTAATAGATATTCATATTTGCTCTTTCTGAATCATGCTACATTACCTTAATTCCTATTCATTAACTTTTTTAAGGTGGGAGCTGGGAGGGTTCCTTTAATTTATTTGGTGTGACCAGTGGCTGACCACAAAAAGATTCTTATCTTTTTATCCTCATTTTACAGGTCTTTAAATAAAGAAGATGTCATTTTGCTCCTGGTTTGGAGGTGAAAAGTACAGAGATCATTTTGAACATGGTATGTATCAAACTTACATTTCACTAACATCATAGTTTAAGACATAGGTATATAGGAATAATGATGGCTATGGGTAGAACTCTGAATTTGCTCTCAAATTAAGTAAGTTGCTAGGCATGTAAAATTTCAAAATGATCAGTGTGATGCAGGAATATAACATATTGCTTCATAAATGTTACAAGATACGGATAAGCTTGTATATCGATGACATGAATCATGAATCATGACTCATGTTATCTATGACTTGTAAGTTGTAGGAATAATGATTAAGTTTTTTTTAGTTTGACCTTAGTAAGTTTCCAAATTTGCTCCTTCTGTGCTAATCCAACTGATCAAGGCCTTGAAGGTGCCCTGCAACTAACTTTGAGACAACAGGCTTCACTGGACCACCTCTGACAGAGACAATCCCCCACCACTGTCTGCCCTGGGCCCCGCCAGGTCTGTACGCCTGCTCCGAGTGCGGTCATCCGCTGTTCCCCAGCGAGGCAAAGTACCAGCACCACACTCCGTGGCCAGCCTTCACCAAGCCTGTGTCTGCAGATGCCCTGAAAAGGAGGAAGGAGTCGTCAACAGCGTTCAAGGTCCAGCTACATGTTGTGATGTGTGCTGCTGCTGCTTGCTTAGTTGTGTTGTTGTGGTATTGCATGAGCCAGCTTACTCTGTGTTGTACCTATTTACTGCATTTTTTTCGTTTCAGTAGCAGTTGCAGGGCGGAAAACGCAATATGGGCCAGTTACCTGGGCATGGTTGGACAGGTTCAGTCTGTCAGTGTGTGGGTTGCATGTGTTGGTTTGTGTGTACTGTGCCCATAGTTTGTCCTATCACAGACAGGATTTGCATGCATGTTCTGTTTGTGCTGCTGTCTGCGGTACCCTCAGCTTTAGCAATCTACCGACGACGGCCCGGTTCGAGACCGATTGTGCGATAATTACGGATCGCTGTCGCTCGATCGGTCTCGATATTCGATCTCGGCGACTCTGACCGGGGGGAGTGCCGACTCCGATGACCCGCAGTGACCTTTGTTGATCACAGCTGACTTCTGGCTTCCTTTGTCACTTGTGACAATCCGTCAGCCTTCTATGTCATTGTCAACTGCCCATGACCTACGTCGACCCCTAGTTCAGACGACCACCATTGACCCGCGGTGACCTTTGTTGATCCATGGTGACCTTATCCCTGGCGACCTTCAGTGACTCCTGACGACCTCGGCTGACCTCACGGCGCTGCACCAGGTCTGTACGGCTGCGCCGAGTGCGAACACCCGCTGTTCCGCAGCTCTGCCAAGTACGAGCACCACACGCCGTGGCCGGCTTTTACTGAGCCGGTGGCCGATGACTCGCTGAGCAAACTGCCCGAGACTGAGCAGCAGGAGAGCTCGCCGTGCACGGCGCTGAAGGTAGGAAGGGCTCCCAGGTCCTTAGTTCCAGTGTCGGGCGCCAAAATTGCAATCAGCGCAGGTTATGAGGAAGGTTGCATTTATCTGGCGCGGAAATAAGATTATTTGGCTGGGATCATTAATGCTTGCTGTATGAGTGATGCCACGCTGGCGACGTGAAGGTTTCCTGCGAACGTCTCGAACAGAAATGCCCTTTTATCCGATGTTCTGAGGTCCTTTGAGGCAATCACTTTTATCACAAGGTTGCGGGTGTCTTGCTGCTAGACTATTGCGTGGTCGCAGCCCGCAGGCCACTCTGCCCGAGACTATTGCACATTGTAACTTTTCTGGGACACACTGCATTGAACTGATGTAGTGGACGAAGAGTTAATGACTGAGGAAAATGTTGTAGTGAATGCATCGATCCCCATTTGCTTTTTTCGGGCACTAGAATAATTCATCAGAATTTGCCGTTCTTCCGATCCCTAGACTGTCATTTATCACAGCGCCTCCAAACATCCTTGGGCCATCTTTCGACAAACTGGGTTGTTCCGACGGCTTTCTATGACTTAAGACTGACACGAGGGAAACATTTTGAAAAAAAAAGCTTCAGCACTTGTGGATAAATACGCGTAACCTCTCCACACGGTGTTGACATGCACGCAGCTCTGGAAGTTTTGTGTGCTTTGCTGTCAATAAAAGCACGCTAACTATACCAACATTTGTGCATGCCTGCGCCCCTGTGCTGGTATCTGCCTACAGCCAACCTACAGCTTAAATTGTCATGTGTCTGTTTCAGCATGAATTTGAATGTTGAATAGCATGCGCTTCTTGTCGATCTCGTCCGCCCGTCAGCAGCTTAGTCTATCCCATCTGTCCCGGGCCGTCTGTATTTCCGATCATTCGTTCCTCTGTCGTCAATGAGCGCAGTGGGACAGGAAGTCCGGGACGGAATAGCAACTTCGGTCAGAGGCTAGGGCGGGGAGCTGGGATGGCGACAGGCAGACCAATGCAGTGGTTGCGGAGACATAAGCTTCGCAAAAGCGTGACCACGGTCGGCCGGCCGGCCGCTCATACTCGGAAATTTCTGCTATGCTACAGTACGTAAGACTTCGCTCGCTCCGCTCACTCGTAAGTCGTAACCACTTTTCCCAGCTTATTTTTTTCTACGGCACATTTCCTGTGTCGAATTCATTATGATCAGACCGGTTTCGGTGTATTAACACCATCATCAGTGAGTAAAAATACAAAAAAAAACATTTTACAAAAAACATGTTTTTTTGTATTTTTACTCACTGATGATGGTGTTAATACACCGAAACCGGTCTGATCAAAATGAATTCGATACAGTGCCTAATCTTACGATTCCTACATTTCCTGTGCCGGCGGCTGCGTCCGAATGCTTAAACGGATGAGCAAGAGTTCGGGTTAAAGGCAACCAGTCAAAGATAAGGACTAAGGTTGTTTTATTGAAGGTATTTGCTAGAAGGCGCCAGGCCAGGGCTAACAATACCAATACCGACATTCCGCGGTGAAGTCGGCCAGCCGCGCTCTGCAAACCACCCCCTACACCATTCTTTCCAAGACCGATTCGTGGTCAACAGTAGCCGTTTTCACGACGGGCTATCCGGCGCGTGCACCTAATTTGACCAAATCTGCACCTAATCTCTTTTACAGCAAATATCTTCATTTTATGAATTTATTTCAGTGTTTTAATCGATGATGCTCTATGATAATATGACAAAGCAGCCATATAAGCAATTAGAGAAACCCTAGCTGGTAGCTACTAAGAGACACATTGAACCTAATTTGACCAAATCTGCACCTAAACTGCACCAGATGTGCACCAAATGTGTACCAGATGGCCGTCGTGAAAACGGCTAATACCGCCCTGGACCGTTCTACCGATACCGGACGCTATTGGCCGATGCCCAGCTTAGCCGCGGCTGGTTCAGGCCATGCAACTGCCGTTCGGACTTTGCTGGTATCGGCCGCTGTCTGACTAGACGGCGGCGGCGGACTGTCCTTAGCAGGGATCAGTTTTCTTGGAAGTGACCGCGCTATCCGACGGTGACTCAACACAGCGGGTATTCTGCGGAGTTACCGATCCATGGTGTTGTAGCGGCAGACCGGTTTTACCCATTTCTCTGTATGCCGTGCAGTGGTGTGTGCAGGCCCGTGAAGAGAGGACGTTGTTATGTTACGAGTCGTTACCGGTGACTGGAGGTACTTTCTGGGAGTCTGCAGATCGGAGGTACAGACTGGAGTCTGGAGATTGGAGATACTGACTGGAGTCTGGAGATTAAGATACTGACTGGAGACTGGAAATTGTGGCCAGAAAGCGCATTCTAGCTGCAGTTTGGAGGCGCTGACGGAGACTCCAGATAGTGATGTGTACCTATCTAAAAACACCGGCTGAAGACTGGACAATGGGACATGAAGTGAGACAATGTCCTGATTGCAGCACGGAGGCCGACACTACAGCTGTTGTCGGTACTAGTCTGGACACCGCTCCACAGACGGGTGTCTGAGTCAGGCTGTTCAATACGGCATCTAAGGATCTGACTAGGGACGTCGTAGTTACGACGCAGGGGAAGTTACGACGACGACTACGACGTTAAGAAATCGGTTGCAAACGTAATGGACGACGATTTTAAGAAATGTATTGCAAAGCTAATGGACGACGATGACGACCAACACTTTGAGAACTCATTTATGAAGATGATGCAAATGTACAAAAATCGTACGGAAAAAAGAAAGATCATCACCGAGGTTCTGACCATGACGATTCGGCCGCGGACCTGTCAGACGGATTTGAGCGGAGAAGCGCGGGCTGCCGCGGTGGACGCCGCCATGGCTGTCTCACCGGTTGACCAGCAGTACCCCAGGCCGGTTAGGGCGCTGGCTGCTGCCCTGCAGGCGGTACCACAAACTGACGTCCAAGAGCTGGAGGGCTCGAGGGATGATGTATCCACAGAGGCGAGGGACGTCCGCCTTTGTATCGAGGCCAGTGTCGATGAGCGTATAGCGGCCCTGACGCGAGTGTTGGAAGCACCGGAAGATGATCCTGCTGAGATGGCGGCCGCGCGGGCGGCGCTGGCGCGCTCCAAGGCCTACCCGAAACTTGAGGAGTGGAGACCCTTTGAGGAGATAAACACCAGAGAAACATACAGGAGCGTGCTGGGCGGAGGTGTGCTGCCGAATGAAGAGGCGTGTGTTCTGGCAATGTACCGGGACCTGCTGAACGGAGGTGAGCCGGGGGAGGCCGAGTGCAGCACGTCCAATGGCGAGGACAGCACGTCCAATGGCGAGGACAGCACGGCCAAAGCTGAGTGCAGCACGTCCACTGGCGAGGACAGCACGTCCACTGGCGAGGACAGCACGTCCAATGGCGAGGACAGCACGGCCAGTCCCGAGTGCAACACGTCCACTGGCGAGGACACCGTGGACAAAGAAGAACTGCGGATCGAGCTTGAGATGCAAGAAATGTACAAACGGTGGACTCGTGATGTCTATGCTGATTGGAACGAGTTTGACGACTTCGAAGAAATATTAAATGAGAAAGCTGACGTCTACACACTTGTAAATGCATCAAAAACTGTCAAAAGGATGGAGCTAGAGCATGTTGGTGTGAAGCGAAACGAAAGCCCAGCTGAACCGCCTGTTCAAGCGGATGTTCTGGATCAACTGGAGGATCAGCTATCTAAAAAAGACAGGGTAAGACTACGAGAAGCTCTGAGAAAGGAAGATAGAAGTTTGTATACCTATACATCCCCGTTTGCCACCAAAGCTGAGAAATTGATCAGCCTTTTAGAGGTTATTAAAAGCAGAATCCAAGTGAACAATATCATCAAGGCACGACCCGATCTTAGAAGAGAACAGATGGTTCCGGTTTGCTCACCCGATAGTGGCACGGAAGACACACAACCACAGGCGACCGCAGAAGAACCCGGTGAGAGCTGCACGAGTGCCCCTGAGATGGAGGGAATCCGGAGAGCAATGGATCCTCCGCAGTCACTGGCCGAAATGGCCTCAGCTCTAGGACGAGTCCTTCGATGGAGAGAGCAAATCTCCAAGTCATACAACATACATCGGACGCATGATTACAAGAAACGATTTGAAGACGTTTTAGACGACATTGAGCTCATCTCACAATGTGGACAAGAAACGCCATCAAACCGCAAAAAAGAGCACCTGTCACAGTAC